ACATGTAGCATGTGATAGATCAGGAGTTCCTTCTTGATAGTGATGTTTGGAAGTTATCTACAATCATGGAATAAACAAGACGATTCAAATAACAAAATACCCTCAAAAAACGAAAATAGAACCCCTTGAGATACATGTACATGTATGGAAGAATAAAAAAACAACCACCCCCCCCAAAAAAAAGCCCCTTATACATGTACCAGTCACTGTTATCTTTTACTTTACTGGTACATCGTAACATAATAGTCTAACTTGTCACAAATGAAATAAATACGGAATAAAATGGGAATGAAAATTGTATACATTGTAGATAAATGAAGAAGTTTGTTTTCACAAAATCCTTAGGTACATGTATATGGGTACATGTATAATACATGTATTATCTGTACTGAAATAAATAATTAGTATATTTATATTGTACTATTACTGCGTAATGTACTGGTATATGTACCGTACATGTATGATTGGACCATGCATGTACTGGTAGGCTCTGGCTCCGTCAACCACCAGAATGTAAATCTCTGCTCTCGAAAAGCCCATTCATGATTTGAAAAACAGTTTCATCTAACGCAGAATCGCAGTTATTGTTGGGCTAGAGTATTTCATAGCAGTTCATTCTTGGTACCAGTAAACTTAAAGCGAATACACTTCCGGCAAAAATTACCGATAGCCTAACATTTTATTCCTTATCAGTGCTTGAAAAATCTTTACAAAATGCTATCATTGATTGGAACAGTCTCCACGATGATATGTCAGCTGATGTGTAGACATGCCAGAGCTCATGTCATGTGATTGATGATGTCATTGTGAGCTGTTTACTCTTAAACAGCTGTTTAATGTCATCACATATACACTTTTACAAAATAGGATTTTGGAATGGACTCAGTTTATTGACATCATGCTTCGTGGGCGTGTAACTATGCTTGATGATCAGCTTGTTGGGATGATCTTGAAGGTTCTTGGATGTTTACACACTTAAGAGGGAATGTCTCATTTGTTCATGTCAAAAGTTGTTGAACTTGTATTGATAGACATTCAATAGACATTGTTGAAACTTGAATGGTAAAACTGGTTTCTTTGTTTTGTCACAAAAAAGCACAACAAACCTCCTGTGAGCTGCTAGTATTAATCAATTCTTATTCAATCAAAGTTTATATACTGGGTATTTTTGGTTGATATTTAAAAAGTAAAATAAGAGTTTAAACACTCTAGCTTTTTATGAAACACATAACAGGGATACAGTCCTGTTTACTGAAGCCTTCCTTCCCTCCTCCTTCACTGTTTGTCTTCCCTCTTTGTTTGCAAGAAAATAGTATGTTAAGTTGTTTGATAATGGTGACTCAAATCATGCTCAGCTGACTCAGAGACTAAGCCAGACCCACATGTACATGTGTAGCCCCAACCTGTGATAGTGCCATTGCAGCATTCTGCTCTCGTACAATTCTTCTCCTCAATGTTTCCTTTGCTCGTGCCCTTATTCAGTCCACACATCCCTGTTCGTTCTCCTGTGAATATCACCTGCTTGTACTCCTGTGACCCCTCCCCTTTACTTACGGAAGGTTCATGTCAGCCTGCAGAATTCCTTCCTCCTAGCTTCCCTCCCTATCCTGAGGGAGATTTCCCCCCTCTGTATTCTTATTAGAAGAACTTTCCCCAGATGCCCAGATGGAGCATGCCTGTAGATTTCCCAGAATGAAATTGAATCCAGTGGCTTGAGGGAGATTTGATGTTAAATACAACGATGAGCATACATGTGCATGCCAGAGCACCAGGCTTGTTGAAAATAATTTCATGTGAGCCTATTTCATATGCTCACATTTTCAAATCCATTGCTTTCAGTTATATTGTACCACTTACAATGTAAAGCAGCACAGTTTTAATATTTGCATTAACAGATTGCCATAGAACTTGTTTTGAGAAACAAAAGTACATGTCTGAAAAGCTGAAAAGCATTTTGACATGCTTTTCCAAGTAACCAATATTTTTGAATGATAAAATCTGCTTGCAGTCTATAGTTTTGAGGTTTTCAACTTATTGTTATCAACTTAAGGTATAAAATCTACAGATTTTTAAAGATGCCACTAACTGTAATATTAGATCTCTGGCCAATTTCATGTACCCCTCCCTCAGATTGTATAGGAACTCATACGAGATTTGAACTGAGATTGAGAGTGTCAAGAAACATAAATTATTTTAAGCCTGGGCAGATATGCTGGCCTTGTGTGTCAGTTTGCATATGTTCCCAGAATGCATTGGTTCTTGATTGGTGTCAAGATGAAGATTAAGGGGTGTGGGTTTGTGTTGTTATAGAGCTGTGCAAACTGAAACCTGAGTACACTAGGGTAATGGAATGGGTTGGGTGCTTTACTATTCACTGTAGTAACGTACTGCAACAATTGCAGAAACATGAAATGCTTGGTTGTGCTGTGATTAAAATCCCCATTGCCGTAAGCAAGGTTGATAATTAGATTTCAACCAGAAATACTTGTCTCAGGCATGGCGAAAGCATTTCAGCCAGCAGAAAATCCTTTTCATTATTTGTGAAGGCAATTTGAAGAAACAGTCCATTTTTAGATATTTTCATTTGTCTTGAGGCTGCCATTTAAGGTTATGTAAGGGTCAGCTGCTTTTTCCAGGAATTCATTAATTCAAGGCCTATTGCCCTCTGGTTTGCTGTTCTGAACAGTCACTTTAGGACCAAAGCTGTGTTTGTAGAAAAGCCATTGAAAGCTTTTGCTGCAAAAAACTTGTCCAAGTGCCTCAAAGAAAGCTAAGTTATTAAGCCCCCACCCCATCACTTATCACTTAACACTGTGTATTCTGAGACAGAGTTATTTGTCTTGGGTTCTTCTTTGGTATGACGTAAATGGAGCATACAATCAGCAGTATTGCCTAACAACATCAGTCAGTTCATACTTGAAGTAGAGCACAGTTCTTTATTGATTGCATGTCACATTCTTTGAGGTGTTAATTCAACGCTGTGTTCTAGCTTATGGCAAAGCTTTGATGATATTATAAGTAAAGCTCTGATAGGAATATTGTTTTAGGCTGGATCTGTAATTGCTTGTCAAAAGCTTGACATGTATGACTGTAGGCTACAGTGTAGTTTAATGGCTTACAACTTGAGGTCACACTGGAAGGAAACTGAGACAGTTGTGTACATACACACATACATGTACCAGTATGTAAGATGTGCACACTGTGATTCACAGCAGAGTGACGGTCTTAGCGTTTGATTGACTTGCAGAAATTAATGAGTTCTTAATGTTTTGTGAGTTGAAATTGTTTGGCAGAGGTTGAAGAACATACAGATATTCTGTGGTTTGTTTTTGGCATAATTCATACTACGAAGACGATCACTGAGCATCGCACCAGCAATGTACTTTGAAGCTTAAACATCCAGCATCCCCTAAAGTTGGATGGCTTGTTTGTGGTTATAGAGAAGATCATTTAAGAACCTTATGACATCTGTACGTGTATGTAATTCTTACATTTGGAAGATTGCTCTGCTCCCATGGGAATGAGTTGTCAATCTGGTGTCTTCAGATAAAATTCGTTTATGTTCATGTGTATCCTCTGGAAGAAACAGAGAAAAGAGAGGAGAAAAAAAAATAACCAGACAAATTGGGTCATTTGACTTTGTCTTTTGTTTGTAAGTGAGTGACTTTATCCCACCAAAGTGTGTTCCATCATGCCCCAGACATGATAAATCTTATCAGATCCAGCCATGTCTGGAATATTGTATGCATGTGCATCATGTATGTCTGACAGGCCTTCTGGAAAGTGCTGAAAGGTCTATGGTTGGACTCCTGATATGACAAGTCGAATTGTTTTCAACAAGATTATTTGCCATGGGGTTTTTGACATGTATGCGAGAGACATGTCTACCTAGTCACTGAGGCATCTTCAATTTTTTTATAAATAAGTTGTTGAAATGTCAAGCTCCTGGCGGCTGCAGTGGAGCCGCTTGAGTGTTGTGTGTGATGCAATCAAATTCAATGGAGACCTTTGGCTGTGTTTGGTCAATGTGTCACCATTGCTTCCGAGAACACAGACTGGTGGCTGGTACGGGCATATACTGTGCATTCAGAGATTTATATTGCTAATAATGCATAAAATGTTCAGTGAAAGTAGAGCAGGTACAGTATCGATTTTGATTGCATGAAAAAGTAGGGTGCATTTGATTCCTTTTCTTCAGATTGTAAGCTTTCAGATTTCTTCAGGTTTCTGGTAAAATATCAGTTGCTGTGATTTTTTAAGAACTCTGTGCTCGATGTTTGAACATCAGTGGTTTGAGTTTTCATTTAGGAAACTGAATTTTGCAAGAGATTGTACATGTATGTGATGCATGTAAGTTGGGTGCATGTACTGGTACAGTACATGTACATCCACATTGTCCATACAGTAAATACACATGCAGTTGCAATAGAGTATTTTGACGACATGACTGTTAAGTGGTTATTGGTACAAGTTCTGGTTTGTCAGGCCAAAGTTGACTTGTGAATAATCTCTATTTCTAGCCTTTAAGGTGATCTGTTGTTGAACAGTTTATTTTCATATTGCCAGTTTAACGTCCGATTTTATAACTCGAAAGAGCTGTTGGGGGAGGGCATTTTTTCCCCGCAAATTCTTCAACATCCATGTACGGTAAAAGAAAATCCTGTGCTAATGAACAGTGTGCATGTACATGTACCTCTATCTCAATTTTATAAACTGAGAAGTTCCTTGTACATTAACGTTCTAACCCCTCCAATTATAATGTTTCCACATTGCTGTTGCTATTATATATTACATGTATGTCGTATTTGCTTCTATTGCCATGTGTATTCTATTACATGTACGCACGTTTTAGGATGACTGAGGCTGCAACGATGGCCACTCATAGTAAAAATATTTATGCAGATTCAAAATGATACATTTTCAACCTAGGGAGAGAAAGGATCTTTGGATGAGTTGTTTTCATGAAAATTTTTTATGATTGTTTCTTGTTGTTGTTTCAGCTACATTACTGCCTTCAGGGGACACTGTTGTTAATGGATCTGACTTGAACCTAACTTGTACACTCCATGGACAGCTCAATGGTAAAACAGCAGCAGATATACATTGGATTGCCTGCTTAAAAGTAAACAGTGACTGTGGTCCAATCTCAACAAGTCATCGTGTGGAGGTCACAAACAGTCGTACTTCCATCTTACACCTGCAAGACCTCCGAATGCCTGAAGAAGGAGGCAATGAAGGAATGACGTATCGTTGCTGCTTCAACTGTGACGGTTGGAATCCGAACAACTATCAAACATCAGCAACAGTCTATGTAGGACGTAAGTCGGGAAGGGTTTTTTGTTTTGTTCATTTATAAATAATTGGTAGTTAAAGCCCTTTTCACATGACGACAAAAAACTAGCAAGGTTTGAGAAATTTTGTCATGCTTGAGAAATCTTACAAAAGTGCCATCGTGTGAAAGGTCGCCAGTGCTTGAGAGTGACGAGCATTCCTGGTGAATCCTTGAGATACCGTATTTTGGAGGAGGTCCATATTTACGAAATATCTTCCGCTAGCGGAAGATTTCTTGAGCAACCCATGAGAAATGGTCGTATGAATGGATGCATGGGTGATTATTGGATGGATGATTATTGTACAACGTCCCCTGCGATAACCTACACATTGCGCATGTGTAGTGACCTCCAACCCTACACAACGTGTGCGCGCCTTTAACTTCATGGCACTGCTCGCCGGTGTGATCGGTAATACCTCCTGCAACTTCCCGCCGTTGATGACCATGCCGTCCATTTTCACCATAATCGTGGCATTTTCCATGGCAGTTATAAGGCTGAGAGTCTCATCATACTCCCAGCTCTTCTTGAAACTTTTCTGCTTCTTGGTACTCTCCGAAACATTGGTTTCGGGATGTATTTTTGTCTGCAAGTTTGACTTTGCCGATGTAGTGCAGCCATTTTTCATCGATGGTCTCCAACCTTTGACCTCACATTGCGCTGGTACTAGTGGTATTTGCGCTCAGTAAGTGTGGAGCTCACTGGCAACCCGTGGATTAAGCGTTCACATCTAAAGGAATGCTTGTGAAATGTTACACGGTGCCATGTGAAAGGACATGATTGTGGTTTGTAAAGTAAACAATCCCCGCTCCGAAATTGTGCCTCAAGCCTTGCAAGTTTTTGTCGTCCTGTGAAAAGGGCTTATTTATACACATGTACCTGTACCTTCACATCTTGAAATGGGAATCCCAAGCCAGGTTTGTAGGGAAAGGATAAACTTGGTTTTTGGGGGAGGAGGATTAGGACAGCAAATGAGCTACAGTAAACTCTCAAAGTCAGTTAACTTGAAACTCCGCTTATCTCAAAGACATTCTTGATTCCTACGAAAGGAATAGGCTTTATGTACAGAAATACCACTATAATTAGAAATGCCCAAACTACTACATCTGCTTAACTTGAAGTTTTTGAAGGAGTGATCCAAAAGGACTGCTGCCAAATCGCAAACAATAAGTGGAAAAGGATCACAAGACTTTAGTTATATTAATTATAGTATATTTCTGCAAACCGCACTTAGTCTGTTTGCATGAGGACACTAGCGTGCTTGCAGCCAGTGCTTTTGTAATCGACTTCTTGTGACCACAGCTTAAACAAATCCTGGCTTTCAAGAAAGCCTGATTGCCATTGTTGTCCAAATGTAGCCCGCAAGCACGCAGTCCAATCGTTGATTCTTTACAGAGGCCATGTGAACGCACGGAAGGCAAGTTTGTTTGTGCCGCAGCTAAAGCCTGGCTGCTGCCGCTTGCCCAATTGCAGCACTCGCACACTACTTACATGCTGACTGTCTAATTACAGCCCGTGTGTAGACACGACATGCGTTCCCATACTGGAAATGTGCTTTTTTGCTTTGCCAAATCTCCTCAAATTTTAAAAAAAAGGTACAAAAGGAAAGGTAAGGGAATGAAAAGACAAACAAAAACACAAGCATTTTTTTATTTTTTTTATTTTGGTCTCGTTTTAAAATGCAAAATGCCCTCAAGCGATGTCCCTCAAGCGGTTAAAAAGGAATGATCATTATGGCCAAACAGGAAAACCCTGGGCCCAGCCCCGGCCAAGCGAGAGGAAGCACTGGGCTGTTCCCGTCATGTTGCCCCATGCGTCAAATGAAAGTACATGGTTTTGGTGGCTTATGTTTTATTCATAAGTAAAATATAAATTATACATGTATGTAAGAAAAACAGAAATTTCAGAAAACTAATGATTTTTTGCAGAAATTTGTTGTTGGATATAAGGAAATAACCACTTTTTCACTAGCCACCAAGGGGGCAAGTAGGGTTACCTATGCACTGTGCATGTGTGTGGGCAAGACTCAGGAAATTTTGTTAGCTCGAAATGCGGATAACTCAAATTTCTTATTCATTCCCTTGAGGTTCGATTTATCAAGAGTTGACTGTTATCCCCCTAAATTTGCCCCCTTTATTTTAAAACACAAAGAACTTTTGGTCCTGAGGAGAGCGGGGTGTGGCTCCCACTAGTGCCCCCCTCCCGAAACTACAGTACATGTACCAGCGCACATAGTAAAGATCTTTGTGGCCTGATGCAACAGCAGGTAGATGTAGGATACTGTTTCTATGAATATCACACAAAACAATGGAAAACCATAATTCCTGGACATCAAACAATTCATACACTTGCACTAGTTCCATAAACCACACTTTGACGTAGCAGCAACACATCAAATCTTGGATGGGGGGGTTGAAGATTGGCAACTTGTCCAGGTATCTGAACACGTTGGCCTTTCAAGGTTCAAAGTGCCACCTTATAGCCTTCCCCCTCCCCCGAGGCTGTGAACTGTATTTTTTGTTTAAACAAAACTTATGTTTTCATGCAAATAGCCTTTTACCCTTCCCCAGATTCGAATTCTTTAAGTATGTGTGTTTGTGATAGGCGACCATTACTGATTCAAATGAACTGATGATTTCTTGTTCCTTTACACAGTTCCTCCATTTCCAGTGGAGAATTTGCAGTGTTCCAGTCGAAACATTTCCAATTTTACTTGTTCTTGGGACAGAGGGCAGTACACTGGACTTGGTATCAGGAATACATATGTTCGATACAAGGAGAGAGTGTGAGTGTATATCAAAGGTTTTGTTTGTTACTGTCATTAATTTGGACTTCCCATTAATTCATGGTAGGAGCGACACTCATACATCATGGTCGAGTTCGGGTGCCGTGTTTTTGACACGGGTTTCTTGTTCTCGCACTCGAATGGCGTGAACACGACTCAAGAACACTGTTCTCGGAAAAGGATCACACACCACCCCCTTGTCTGGGTTTTGCAGGAACACACGGAAAAACTTGTGAGATTTTGATTTTTGAACAGCTGCAAAAAATAGAGAGATGTTTTACAAAGTTGGAGACAGTAGGAAGCTTTGCAAAATTAACATTAATTATTTTTCACGACACAGAAGTGAATGTTCCTGTTTAAAAAGAACAGAACTCAGCCCAGTTGTCCAAGCATTAACTCTCGAATAGTTTACTACAATATGGACGCTGTCATGTTGCTTGTCACCAACTACCAGTGATGACCAATTGTACGTTCCCGGCGTTCGAGTGGCCGACCCAAGAACGACAAATCAAGCTGTTCGTGAACATACGAGAACAAGCCGCCCGAACTCAGCCCATCAGTGTAGGGTGTAATTGTGCAAAACTCTGTGGTCATCAAAATTTGTAAGCTATGTTTGAACACCAAAGTGTACGAGACCAATTTGTTCCTGCTGTGACATGTAAGGTGACAGGTCAGTGTAAAGTACATATACACGTAAATTGCATTAATAAGAGCTTCGTGTTCATGGTAACCATTTGGATGAGAAAAATACGTGAGGATTTTAAAAGGTTTAATTGAGGGGGAAAACACAGCTTTCATATCTTGCCAAATATTGCAATTCTCTTTATGCGAGTACTTAACTAAGAACTTGATATTCAAAGGAAAATTACTGTCTTATTACAATATCTGTGAATACTTGAATTCAAAAGCTACATACTTCAATTATTCCTGCACTCCCAACTTACGAAATGTCGAACCATATACATGTCTAATATCCATGTAATCAGACCTACATGTAAACTCAGCAGTAGTGAAAGCTGACCAAGCAAACTGTTGTTTATTTTTCCTTGTTTCTCTTTTCTTCCGACATCTTCAGATCCTCTGGCAATTGGAAAACAATCACACTGGGAAGGGACATTTACTCGTTCACACAGAAAGCATTAATGTTTGAGATGGAGATCCATGTTGTTCAAGAAAACCCTTTAGGCAACTCCTCAAATACCAAGATTTTGTTTTCGACACTCACTGAGAGTAAGTACAGAGTTATTCACTGATTACAATTGTGGAACTTTGAAATGTCTGCCCAGTGTTTTTCACAGGTGTGAGAATTCAGCTATTTAGTTGATTTCAGCTGATTTGTTTAGATGTTGGCCCTGAATTTCAGCTTTTTGTACACCTGGTCCGTACAAAAGTATTGGAACTTTTAACATGTCAGCTCTTTTCTAGCTGTTTTAGTGTTGAATTAAATTGGCCACTCACACCCCTGGTTTTTAGAATATCCTTTTAGTAATTCAGGACTGCTCAACTAATTTGATAAGTTAAAACCATGGCAAGTGGAGTTGTACATGTATGCATATATCGGAGTACTGAGTTTACGGAGTATTGATTGGAATGTTGATTTTTGTGTGATGTTGTTCATAGTACTACTGTTTTGAGGCCTTGAGGCTAGCAAATCTGCTTTGAGTTCTTGGATTGAAGTTCCACCCAGCATACATGTACCTGTTGTCCTGCATGCCATTCCCTAGCCCCTTTTGGTAGAATCTACTTAAAGAATGCACAGATAATTGACTTACCTTTTAGTTTCGATATGTACATGAACATTGCAATCATGGAAACTTTACATGTCTAAAGTGGTTGCAGAAGACTTCTGTGGAGCTAGAGTAGTTTTAAAGGGCCCCAATTAAGCCACTGGGAAAAGTGTTGTGCTATAAAACTTCTATGTGTTCCCTTTGCTATGCCTCCTGTGAAGAGTGATTTTCTGACGCCTCGTCTATTCCAGTGTGTATGATAAATACACACTTTTCCATGAAAAGAATTTTTGTTATTTGACGGGCAAATGTTATGATAGGTGTAATTAAAATTGTGAGAAAAGTGAGTAGACACAGTGACACTGGCACTGAGCTACATGTCCATCCAACCACGCATGAGAGGTAATGCTACGCCACTGTAAAAAAGTACCAGGTGATACTATGAGATGGTCCACTGGGAACATGGGTTTACATGACTTACACCTTTGTGCTTCCGAATACTGCACCGTTTGCATACTTTGATGACTCTTACATGTATGCCTAAATCCTTTTTTGTGTGTTTATAACTGATTTATTTGTTCTTGGTCTTTTTTCATCATAGCCATTCCCAACCCACCGACAGGGCTGAACCTTACTTTTCTTCAGCATGGAGATTTTACTACAGACATGTGGCTGTCTTGGGAGATACCCAATGAGTGGTTGGAGAAACATAAAAATGCGTTGCTGTATAAATTTTATTACAAGAATGGGAGAACAAATGAAACCATCATAGTGGAGTTGAACAGAGTAAGTAATGAGATGCCAGTGGGAAATGAAGATTGATTTGTTCACTGTCTAAACCACACTGCATTCTTGATCAAAGTTGGACGATGTATAGGATCTGAATCTTATTTCACCAGACTCGTCTTGCCAGCCTTGGCACCAGCTGAGGGGGGAAGGGGTTGGGGACATCATAAGAACAAATGATATGTTTAATGGTTATGGATTTTGCCAATGAGGGGCTAGCTGCTTGCCAGAGAAGCCTTAGTGACGGCCTGGATTTTTCTCAACCTGATTGCCCTGATCCTGTTTTCCTTTTGAAAGAAAATTTTAGGCTGTGTAGAACAATCACAAGCAGACAAGTGTTAAAATGGTGCCTGTGTAATAGCTTTGTATTGTACATGTACTGTATTTAGAAGCTGTTGACTTTTGTCTTCACCTGTGATGTGTTTCTGTTTTAATCCATAGCCATACTTTCTTGGTTTCTTACTTAAGACTTCATGCATATCTCCTAGTAACTTGAGAATTGCATGCTTCTCTGTTTACTACCAAGTATTCATTCTTGTTGGCAGGTGGAAAGTGTGGAGAGGGGGTACCTTATTGAGAAGGTTGAACCTTACACCAACTACATGGTGAGAGTTGCATGTCAGTTGAACAGTGCATCTTTTTGGAGTGAGTGGTCTCCATTGGTGTCTGGAGTCTCTCCAGAAGCAGGTATGGGAGAGTGTTATTTAGCAAGGTGTAATTTTTCTATGGGATAAGACTAGCATCGATAATCTTTATGTATGTTCATTTCCTTCCAAGAAGCATATGCTGAAACTGATAATAGAGAGGATGCTTTTAGCCTAGCAATAAGGATTAGTTCAGAAGACTCAAATGCCAGAAGTGTAGGGGTTAGTCTTACCTAAAATTGAATGACAGATTCTTTTTGACAATTTCAGCACCTAGTGGGAGAGTTGTTGATCTCATTCAGTCTGTGCTTGGTGTCAACCCAAATCCCTACAAGAGAGATGTGCAACTGACTTGGCAGGTAAGATGGTCACTCTATAAAGACTCATGTGACCCCTTGGTCTTTAACTGCTCAAGTAAATACCATGATTTTTCTTTGTTTTATTGCCTTTCTTCAACTTTTGTGCTTCATTCTCAATTTTATTCCATCTTATCACAATGCAACTCTTTTTCCTTTACACAGCCTCCTCGTTTGGATGAACAAAGTGGAGTTATCAGAGGATATCACGTGAATATCTCATCAAATTCTCTTCCTGAGACACTCAATGTCACTGTGGCTGAAAACATGTATGAACTCCCTGGTATGTAACCTAACATATCTCATACAGGATCAGGTCCATAGTTTCAAACATTGTCTGCCCAGAGATCTGCACGTCTTGATTTTCCACATTTGTAGCATATGTGTAGATGTATATACAGCCACCGAGTAGTAGTAATGAAGAAGGTGAACCTGAGATTGTTAACCTCAAATTTATTACATTGTTTGCATTTAGAGATTCTGAAATATCTCTGTGTTTCAATACAGACATAGATAAGTTTCACCAGTATGATGTCCACATTGCTGCATATACGACAAAGGGGGCTGGGCCCTACTCGCATCTTGTCATACCTGATTTAACAACAGGTAAATATTAATCTCAGCAGAGTTAATTGTTTGTCTAGACTTGAAGTCTGTCAGAGAAAGATCATATCACCTGTCATACAATGTCAGTTCTTAAGGAATATGCTTTGCCAGAACCTTCATTTAGTAACCTTTGGGGGAATACTTTACAGAGCCAGCTCAAGTCGAAAACCTTGTGGCAAATTCAGATGCTCCAAACAGAATCGTGGTTGCATGGGCTGAACCGTCCAATCCACATGGAGAGATTCTCAAGTATGTTGTAAAATGGAACGTCGCATCAAGCCCAGACAACGTGTAAGTACCAGAGGTTAGGAGTTGACAGAAGCTTTGATGGTGAACGTAATCAGTAGATGTGTCTATTTATGGTCGAAGTATATATGAAAGCTGAATGAGACAGCTTTGGTTGTGGTAAAATGTTACATTTGATCAATTATGTCTTAATTCTCATTGAGTTTACAGCATATTTTTGAAAAAAAATTGTTCTTCTCATTTTATTGCTCTTCGTGCAGTTGTTGCCCAAATAAGTATTAATATTTCATATTCATGAGGTCATATATTGGTAGCAGCTGCCATGATACAAACTTATGAAACTTTGTTCTGTGTCAATAGCCATGCAGCTGAACCTTTGGACAGGGAAAAGCAAAAATTAATTATAGACGGACTTCAGCCCTATACAAAATATGACATATGGGTCATCATCCACAACAAGGTTGGAAAGGGTCAACCTGTCACAGATACTGTCACAACACTGTTTTCTGGTGAGATTTTCATATTTTTTCTCCTTATTGTATTTTTGTTTTCTGAGATTGGTTTTTCCTTTTCTTCCTTGAATCTTCCTTCTTGCTGGGAGTGGGACCGCTACACTCTTTTCATTTGAAATGGGTACTTGAATACAAGAAATCTGGTATATTTGTGCACAACTTAATGTTAATATTTTTCTGTTATGTATGTAACAGAAAGTATATTTTGACCCCTTAACCCTGTAGAGGAAATAAATGAGGATTGAAGTTTTTAAAGTAGTTTTCCAAGATGTTTCTGTTTGTTGATATGGTTTACTATTTTTGTGATAATGAAAACAAAATTAAAATGTGCCATGAATACCCTCTGAAATTCTAACTTTTGCTTTATTTTGTGTGACAGATTTTTGTGGTATTGTTTTTTTTAATCCTTAGTACCAACTCGGCCAAGAAATGTGCGTTCCCACAAATCCTCATCAACAGAGATTGAGCTGAGGTGGGAACCACCTGAGACTATCAATGGACCATTTTTTGGTTATGAGGTTCATTATTGGCCAAGCAGTGACCCACAAAGTAGCACCAATAAGTCGGTGTCTGTAACTCAGGCTGTACTCAGTGTTGACTGCTCCATGTTTGAAGAAGCTATCCCATTCATGTTTAAGATCTTTACTGTTACTGGATGGAATGAAGAAGACAAGTTACTAGGGGAACCGGTGTTGTTGGAGAAAGAGATGTGTGGTACTGACTTGCCCAGTAAGTTTGTCGGACTACCTGCTTCCTAATCAATCGACATGCATTCAGTCTTTTTCTCTTCTTCATATGAAAATTATTTGACGTCCTTTTGAGGTCAAGTGATTAAAAAGTATTTTGTAGTTTGTTTTTCAAAACATCGGTGCATGTTCTGTTTCATGAGACAGGTTTGATGATAACAGTCATGAAAATGCCACTTTTGAATCCTATGTACATGGAAAAACAAGACTGAAAATGAAGGAAGGCTGAAACAACTCTGTGTTTATGCAATAAAATGCATGTTGTGTTACAAATTGAACAGTTGTCTGTGCTTTTCCATTCAATTTGAGAAGATGTTGCTGTGGTGTCATTTAGTAACGACACTTCCATTTATAGGTTTTTGGTCAAATTGTAAACTCAAACTTTGCTCATTTAGAACATTTTTGAGAAGGGGATATTTATTGGTTCTTGCCATGTACTCACACAACAATGAATCACCAAAGAATAGTTAGGACAGTAAAATATCAAATCAATGGAAGTTGATGTTTTCTTCTTGAATGGCTCGACAGTTTTACTCATAACCCCCCCAGCTCTGTGTGTACAGTGATCATTTTACCTATACAGTCACTACCTATGTACTGATATTTAGGTTTCTCAAAAACGGCACAACCAAAACTGATATAAAAATTCTGAAATGCATCTTCAAGGGTTTCAGAAAAACATTGTGTTGCATTAATTAGACATGTATGTATATGTAATCTTCTTGAATAGGGTTTTATATCAGTATATATATATTTATATCAGTAAATTTACATTTAAGTATTTTATGTAAGTTTTTAATCCAACTAGCCTGGAGAGCCCCTCGTCAGGAGTCTTTTTGTTTTGGGCAATCCATCGGAGACTGGTTGGGTTTTGTCCTTTGTTCCAATGTTTTACTGTGTGTTTTGTTAACCTGTATTTCCCGAGAAATGAAAAAATAAATAAATAAATAAACTCTTAAACTTACACCTTTTTGAAGTACTGTAGGTTCCAATTCCAACCAGTACTGACCATGCATATTTCTTTTATATCTTTTCCAGCTACCGCCATCATCATTGCTGTGCTCATCAGTGCTTTTTCAATCTTACTGCTTGTCTTCTGTTTTTATACTGTCCGTCACTCTGCACTTATGAAACCATCTCCTAATCCTTACTTCATTGACGGTATTCTGGAGCCTTCAGTAAGTGTCTTGAATAATTACAGAGGCTTTGTGTGATAGCCATCTTGCAGGGTAATTCTTTTGTTCCACTGAGAAACCACCTTTGCATACTCTGTAGGACAATATCATTGGCTTGCAAAATTACAGCCATGCAAATCGTCTATTGCTTTGTGGGTAACATGAACAAATTACTATTCATGGGGGCATTGTACACGCAGTTTACGCTGATTGTTCTAGTTTTGTATTATGCATACTACTGGCCCTAAGCATCTCAATGTGAGGAATTTTTACAGAGTACAGGTGTAAGAATTCTTGTTTCCCTAGATTTCTGCAGATGTTTAAACTAAAAAAAAAAAAACTCACCTTGTGGAGGAAATGTGCCCAATTCACTTGTGGTCGAGCAACCAAATCAGTTGCAGGTTTCATTTTGTATGTAACAAATCTGGGTTCATATGCAGTGCTGCCCCACATGGTGCTTTTTATACAAATTACTGTATGTTTCCCTAACATGAAGGAACGTGTGTGCATGCACAGTATGGTAGAAGCAGGCATGGCAGTGACACCAAAAATAGCTGAAATGACATTGACACCTCAGGAGCCAGTGACCCCCCAATGACATGGAGTACATTGTAAATTACAACCCAGAACACAATGAAATCCTCCAAACTTTCAGATATCTATGAGCAAATTAAAACAAAACAATGTGTATATCTTTCTTTATGTGTATAAATATATAGATCTTCTGTATTCACAGATTCATTTTTCAATCTCTAAGCTTGTATATTTAATATAAAGCATGAGTTTTCATGAGACCGTTAACAGGCTTATGCAATGGCAGCCAGTCATTGTGGGCACTTAATTTTGAGCTCTTGTACTGCTTCACTTTATGTAAATCCCATAACGAATTTCCTTGGGGTGTTGTATGTGTAAGAGAAACCATTTCCCATTTTTCTGTTGTCCAAGGGTTAATATTTAAGCCTTTTATATATTATTCCCAAAATTTTCATTTTCTCTTTCAGAGTGAGAAATTTAAGAGTCGTGTGACTTTTCACCAAGATAAAGAAGATTTTGATGTTTTGAACACTTGCGAGTCATTCCAAGAGTTGATCATTCAAGAGTCGCAGGTTACATCTAATAAGAGCAGTTTAAGTACAAGCTCAGGTTCCAGTAGTGATCAGGGATTCCATGACATGCAGTCAGATGCTGAAACTTATAATCAAACCCTCATGAATGAACACAGACGACCCAACACTCGCTGTTCAAGCGGCTATGGTCATTCTGAGCTTGATCTAGAGCAAGGACAGAGAATGCTGTCACCAATGGAGGAGTATCGTGAAGATGAGGTTCCTGTCTTCAGTTGTCCTGAAGATGGTGACGATTGCATTGTCCCAGTTACCAGCTATATGATGCAGACTGCTGACAAGGAAAGCCCACTGCCAAGTCCAGAAGCAGTCCACATACCCATGGGTAGCAGGGAAAGTGTCCAGTACACATCAAGGCGCGCATCTCCTGTCCTTGGAGTATCACAGTCATCTTCTAGATCACCACATCGTCTGTCCTCAGGAAGTGAATCTGACAGCATGACCTATCTTCAGTTAGGAGCTAATCACCCTGCATCAACTTCCCAGAATAAAGTAGCAAGACAGGACAAAGGAGAAGAGTCTGATATTAACTACAGTCAAATGGCCATTCAAGGTACAGTCTCTGTCCAGACACCCCCATACGAGTCTGTCTGGCCTTCGGAGTCAAGCCCGGAGGAGTTGGACTCGCATCCGGGTGCCGTGAACCCAGACTGGATCAATGGATTCCGCACTGATCTTGGCTTTAACAACAACAGCAAGGAGATTCCGGATATCCACTCCGTTAGCTCTTTCAAAGCACCACAGGAGGTTATTGTGGCGACGGCGCTCTCACCACAAACACCCAACAAATCCAGCAGTCCCGAGGTTGACAGGCCATTGTTGCCAAAATTGTCCTCTACAGATAGTGAGGATTACATCGATATTGTTGGTGGAAACAGCTCCCCAAGGGCTAACCCTTCACAATTCTCTCTGCCATTGATGAGTCCAAATAGCAGGAATGATGCTAGCTGTATGGACTATGTCTTACAGTCAGAGCTGCCCCCAGCTAGTCCACAAGAAAGTACAGTCCTTTGAGCTTCCGGCCAAAGAGTTTATTCTTAACTAAGATGGTTGACTTGTGACAGTGATGACCTGGTTGCTCAATGCATTGTTTTCTGAGGGCACTGTGAGACATCCTTATTAAAAACAAGTTGGATCAGATATGAAGAGATACCATACAAGTTAAGAATTGTGCCTGCTCCTAATTGATGGTGTAATTGAATTATTGGCCGAGTGTATGATTAATGAGGGCGCGATTTAATACTTTCAACAAATAGTCAAAAAGTCATCTCATTATTACAAAGATACAGTTACAAATAGGCAAGATGTAGGCTTTGCTCGCCATTAATGTTGTTCTAATTTTCCTGAGAGTTCAGGATATTGTTACAATTGTAACATGGATTAGGAGTGGCACCTTCCTGTGGAATCTCTTTGGGCCATGTTGTCAAATGTGTCTGGAAAATCAAACAGTGACTTTGATTAAGTATGCTTATTCTGGCATTGCTTTATTTCTCTGTTGTGCTTGGTCCAATTCCAATCAATGCCACCACTTTAATTGACTTCTCAATACCTTAAAGTGTAATTCATCAAGCAGAGTTACAAGCCATTACTGCGTTGGCACAATGATTGTGGAGAGGTGGTACATATGTATGCATATTACATGTGTCCTTGACCAATGAGGTGTCACAGTTGCAATGTCTCCTTGGACAACTTCAAATCAGCATTCATTATTGGATTTCTTTCCAGCAAAGCATTGTAAAGTTTGCTTGCTGAAAATATCTGTAAATACAAGGTGCTCTTGTCTGCATTTGGCATCTACTTAATTAGTTGATACAGAGAACAGAACATCAGGGGACAAATGTCATTCTCGAAAAATGTAAAGTTGCTGACTGCCACTTTGAAATGATTTACATTGTTTGAGGGAATAGACCTGTTTCAAACCACCAATTTTGTATTCAAAAGCTTTCAAAAGAGCTTGCCTAATACTGTCAAAATTATGTCTT